CCCCACCCCCACCCCCCCCCCCCCCATCCGCAGCAGCAGCAGCCCCAGCGGGCTGCCCCGGCCGAGGAGGAGGAAGAGGAGAAGAACCAGCTGCTCCTGCAGCAGAAGAAGGGGGCGGGGGACGGGGGCAAGGAAGGGGAGAGCGGGAAGGAAGGGGAGAAGAAGAACGGCAAGTACGAGAAGCCCCCGTTCAGCTACAACGCGCTGATCATGATGGCCATCCGGCAGAGCCCGGAGAAGCGCCTCACCCTCAACGGCATCTACGAGTTCATCATGAAGAACTTCCCCTACTACCGGGAGAACAAGCAGGGCTGGCAGAACTCCATCCGCCACAACCTCTCCCTCAACAAGTGCTTCGTCAAGGTGCCCCGCCACTACGACGACCCGGGCAAAGGGAACTACTGGATGTTGGACCCTTCCAGCGACGACGTCTTCATCGGGGGGACCACGGGCAAGCTCCGCCGGAGGTCCACCACCTCCCGGGCCAAGCTGGCTTTCAAGCGGGGCGCTCGGCTCACCTCCACCGGACTGACATTCATGGATAGGGCTGGATCTTTGTATTGGCCTATGTCCCCTTTCCTCTCCCTGCACCACCCCCGGGCCAGCAGCACTTTGAGTTACAATGGGACCACGTCCGCCTACCCCAGCCACCCCATGCCCTACAGTTCAGTGTTGACTCAAAACTCTTTGGGAAACAACCACTCCTTTTCCACGTCTAATGGGTTAAGTGTTGATAGACTAGTCAATGGAGAGATACCTTATGCCACTCATCACCTCACAGCAGCAGCTCTGGCCGCTTCAGTGCCATGTGGCTTGTCAGTCCCCTGCTCTGGCACCTATTCCCTAAACCCTTGCTCTGTAAACCTTCTAGCAGGACAGACGAGTTACTTTTTCCCCCATGTTCCTCACCCTTCAATGACTTCTCAAAGCAGCACTTCAATGACGGCCAGGGCAGCCTCCTCCTCCACGTCTCCACAGGCGCCCTCCACTCTCCCTTGTGAGTCCTTAAGACCTTCTTTGCCAAGTTTTACAACAGGACTTTCCGGGGGACTTTCTGATTATTTCACACATCAGAATCAGGGGTCTTCTTCAAACCCTTTAATACATTAACATCCATGGGACCAGACTGTAAGTGAACATTTTACACACATTTGCATTGTAAATGATAATTAAAAGAAAAACATCCAGGTATTTTTTATTAAGTCCCGCATTTTCTGTACGTTTGTTCAGTCTTTAGGGTTGTTTATTATTCCAACAAGGTGAGGAATGTCAGCCAGGTGCAATGTGGGGAGATGACATTGTAGACTATGAAGTTTGGAAGTCAAAATTATAGTAGATTGTGTATCTAAATAGTGACTGCTTTTGCAATTTTTATTCAAACATGACAAGTCTATAACTAAAAGCCTCCAGATTTTCCATGTTTGCAGTATTATAAGTTATCATGGATATGTGGGTGGACGCAGACCTTGAAAAAATACTAAATTTATTAAAACAATGAAAAGATTAAAATGTAATTTGTATTTATGCGGAAGTAATAGTAAACGATGCCCAAGAACTACATTTTGGCCATTTATTATTTTGTCCTTTTCTTTAATGAGATGGATTTTTGATTTTTGTTTACTTTTAGACCAAAGATTGGGTTTTAGAAAATGCACTCCGTGTACGAAGTAATTTAAAACAACAACAAAAACAACATTGTTTCAGTTTGCAGCACTGCCCGTTCCAATGAATCAGAAGGGGACAAAATTAATGATTGCCTTCAGTTTGTGTTGTGTATATTTTGATGTATGTGGTCACTAACAGGTCACCTTTATTTTTTTCTAAATGTAGTGAAATGTTAATACCTATTGTACTTATAGGTAAACCTTGCAAATATGTAACCTGTGTTGCGCAAATGCCGCATAAATTTGAGTGATTGTTAATGTCGTCTTAAAATTTCTTGATTGTGATACTGTGGTCATATGCCCGTGTTTGTCACTTACAAAAAATGTTTACTATGAAGACACAGAAATAAAAATAGGCTAAATTCATATATATTTGATAGTTTTTGTCTCTTTTATTAAATAGAATTAATATTCCAAAGGCATTAAAGCTACAGGGAATTCAAAGTGCTAGCTAGGTAGGCCCCCATTTTTCACATGCTCCTATTTTCTTAATTCACCTTGTCTTTTGCAATCTATATTATATATTTTTAAGGAGCAGTCTACCTAATCAAAAGCTAAGACCATTTCATTTTTTATCAGAATTCTCCATTGACTTCAATGGAGAAGTCTATTTAAAAACTGGTAGTGTGATTTGTCCCCGGTTACTATACTATGTATTAAATTAGAGGTGTCATAGACGGTACAGTTTAAACTCATGTAATATATAATTGTATGAAAGAGATAATTTAAATATACATATCTGTGATACTTTGTGTTAATTTTTAAACCTAATTCAAGGAAAAACTTCTTCTGAAAGGGTTAATTTTGTTTAAAAGTCCATTGAGGACATATAAATGACTTACATGTCTATATATTTTTGTATATGGCATTTAATTTCCGCGTTTGGCTTATATATGGCTAGATATAGCTAGATATAATACGTGTGTATATAAATATATAAAACCACAGTCTTTTCCCTTTAAACAAAAGTCAGGTCAGGAAGTATATACACTTTTAATGCTGCAAACACTTTTGTTTAAAATATTTGTATAGGTGTCCATAGCTATTAGTCAGCATTTACTATTCCTGTGGCTGTTCCCTCCCCTTCCACCGCGATGAAAAAGTCTAATAAAGACGTGCTGAAGTTGCAGCATGTTACAATTAAAGGTATTGCTGAAGTGGTCACATGATGCGATGGATTGCATACCCGTTTAAGATTTTCAAAAAATAATTCTGAGTTTAAATTTGAAGCACCAAAATGAATCTTTTTCACATGCTGCCCTCCAGCGATAAATACGTAATGAAGCCCACCAGCCTATAAAAAGCATACGTACGTAAGTATCTTTCATTTGCTGGAGGATTGATCCTTTTGCTAGAAGGGGGCAGTGCTATTATCTGATGCGGGACTTCATCCTGAAAAGAATCAGTTTCTTGTCGAATTTAAGAAATCCCATGAAAGCCGCAACTCTTGCAAATAATTAGAAAACTTGTGCAAAAAGGTTTACTAACTAATTGGATCCCGCAGTGAGTCCGTGGAAGACAAGTTGTTCATTTGTTACAATTGTATAGTCTGAAATGTGTTCTGCAGTAATGCAATAAGCCGGCTACTTCTCACAATAGACCCAATGAAAAATAATCTCTATCCCGGAGATGTTATCGGCAAACACTTTAAAGAGTTGATCTTAAAAGGATTGTGTGGAGGGGGAGGGGGCATAAGGGAAAGGGGCAACAGCAAATCTAAATTCTTGAAAACAGATTATTGACGACACTGGGACAGAGAAAAAAAGATCTTCTGAAAATAAGAATTAAACTAAACAGATTCGAGCAAATCTGCAGGGAAGAGAAAGGAGTGAAAGGTTAAGGAGAAGATGGGACACCAAGCCCTGCACATATGGGGGAGAGGGAGATAAATCACTGATGTTCTTGGCTTCCCTTCTAAATCAGATGAATCATAACAGTAAGGAAAAGGTTGCTTTGTTTTAAGTAGCAAGGGATGATATCACTTGGAAGGATCCCCGCCTCCAAATTCTTCATTCTATTGCAATTTAAATTCGTGCCTCAAAAATAATTGATCGCGACAACTAAAAACAAAAAGACCTCTGAATAAATCTGAAACAGCACTTGATGAGAAAAAAAATCTGCGAGTTTAAACGGTTAAAAAATGGAGTTTCTATTCTGTATATTTTTACCTAAGGAAATTAGAAGAATGGAATCTGCTGCAGCTGACAAAGGACAATGATTTATTATTTAACACTTGCAATTGGTTGCATATTGTGGGAAATTCAATAGCGCGTTTTAGGGTGTTATTCCATTTACATTTTTCCTCGGAAAACGCGGATAATATATTGAGGACTGAAATTGTTTGAAAGCCTAATCCCCACGTCCATATCTTTGTGGATTAATAAGCATTAATTAGGTAAAGGTAATGGACAATCATTCTAAGAAAAGGTTGTAAAACGGTATTTTTAGATATGCTTCCAAAAGGCAAGGTTTATATAAGCACTCATTCTTAATGCTTTACTTAAGCTTCAGTGATAAGCTGTTGCCTAAGCAATTCAGATGTTACTGACTTTTTCTCTTCGCATTGAAGCGGGACAGAGGAACATGTTTGATTTTGTCTTTTACTCAAGTTACCTTATAAATATTACCTGAGATGAAAATGTACCTGGAAGGAAAAGTGCTAAAGTAGTAATATAGTGGAACAGGCCTGTCAAGGCCCAAAATGTGTCTTGCATTTACCTCCCACCGACGCAACAAGTTAAACCTTTTGTTCCTTCAAGATGTCTTTTCACACATACATATGACAATATGGTATGGAATGTAAAGCACTTTTTTTATCCTTCAACTAAATAATGATGTGATCTGATATTATTTTCATAAACTTTTGACGTGTGAACATCTGAAGTCGAACTTTTAAGAACTTTTACTGATTTTTAAAATTATTTATCACTTGTCAACCCATAATAGGGGCCTTTGCTAGCGTTTAAATTTATACAGTTTATGGACTTTTTTAGAAGTTATTGGTATTTTTTCTGATTCGTGTTTGGTATTATTGCACTTGTCCGTATAGTTCATATTAAAGAAAATTCCGACTGTATTTAAAAAAAAATTGCCCTAGGAGGAAAAATGAGAGTTAATGAGCCAATGATGTGAGTAGAAAACACAGTTCAACTGTCCAATGGGACAGTAAACAAATGTCGTCGTGTAATATCTATATTTTCTATAAAATATTTTATATTTCTCTAATATATGTATTTATAGACTATATACTGGATTTAGTAAAATCCTAAGTGTTATGTAGGATACATTTGAACCAAAATCATTTACATTATAATAAGCGATCATATCTACTCTTAATATGACGATTATTTGGATGAATCCTTTAAAAACATCTAACCCCTGTAAAAACTCTGGTGGGAGTGTATTGTGCTCATTGTGACCTCTTCTGCATGATTATTAAGGTTTATGTCGGAAAGTATTCAGATGGGGATTTTCTTCTCCTTCTCACCGCCCGTTATGCGATTAGACCCAGGCGTCATTTACTCACCCCTTCCTCAGGCAAATTTCATTGAATTTCAGTTACTCCATAGCTGAACTCAATGAGCATTTTGCCTTGCTAAAGAGTCAGTGTTGAATAAGACCCATTGGGTAGGTTTTTTGTTGTTCCTATTATTTTATTGGCCACAATATTTTCCTAAGGACAGAAGAAGCTATAGATGTATATATTTAATTGTATATTCCTATATGAGCATAGAATTAACCATACCGAAACTAAGAGACACTCTTATTTATCTCCTTTTATATAAGCTGCTATATGTACACGGAGTTGTGTGTGTATATATATTCTCTCTCTATATATATATACTTAGAATGTATAATATACACACATATTACAAATTATTATTTTATATATGATTTATATATAATACATTATTATATATAAATTTATATATATTGTATATAATTTCCCACAGTATCGGCTGGGCAGATTTGTATGTCCAATGCTCTTGTTTTGAAGAACGTTTTCCTGTGGTGAAGGTGCCAGGGTAAACGGGTCATAAAGTGGTGGAGAACTGGGTTAGCAAGAGGTGAAGGTGAAGATCATTAGAGGTTTTAAGGCTGGCTGTGGCTGTACTGCTGGGATTGTGTGGCTGTGCCCAGAGGGCGGAGTTCCTGCATATTCCTACCTCACCGGAGAACCTGCCCTCAACTCCACTGCAGTTTATTCTAGACAGATGGGACCCTCCGGAAAGAAAACCTGTCCAGCAATCTCAGCAAGCCTCCCCCCCAGCAGGATAGGTGAAGTAAAAGAAAACCTTCACTACTTCTCCCTAGAGGCAGAACCCTGTGATGCGAATTAAAATACATGTCAGACTTGTGTCTACACATACTGTTTTCCACTGCCCATAAAATAACCAGATCGTCCACATGCCTGAAGCACAGCTTAAAAACTCTGAACTGCTTATCCCCAAAATTAGGGTTTTTCCCCTCTCCTCTCCCAAGTTATTTGATTTTAATCAGGTAAGTTGCACATTTCTTCATTATTTTCAAAAATTCTGCCGGTCAATCTGTGAGTTGATTTTTAACATTATTTCTTTTTCTAGCTAAGAGGACTAAAGCCAAGGAAGTGACACGTGTGCGATGTTTTCTTTGGTTTTTAAAGACTCTGTGCAGAACTACCTGTACCTGCTGCAGGGAAAGAAAGGACGCCAGGCTGGTTGCGATACTTTTTCGTGCCGACTTGGTGAGTGTACATTTTATTCCTCAGCAATAAGTACACGTAGAGCTGGGACGTGATTTACCTCTTCGATCTCGTTGTGAAGTGGAAGTATTCTTTAGGATGAGCTGTGTAATACGTGCTTTGCTCTTCTAGGGTTAAAGCTGCTAGTGAATCGAAGTCTTAGTAACAGATGCCGTTTGGGGGTGGAGGGATGTTGGGGGAATGGGAGTGGACTTTGTTTCTAAAAAATAAAAAAGCCCCCAATTTCACTTTTAGATTTTAAAAAATGGGAGTGGGGTTTTCGATGGGTTTATGCATTTCGGGTAGTGTGTAAATATTGCTAAGTTTCCTAAACGCGCAGGAAAAGTTAAAAGGATGGAGGCTTTTTAAAGAATGTATATAAAGCGAACATCGCCTGTGCTCTGGATAGAGCAGCAGGCAAACGCTTCCCCCCAGGAATGGCAAATGAATCACTTGACAATTTCAAGCTCCACTCTAGAGTTTGTGGGGGGTTTGTTTTTATTTTATAATAGATTAAGGCATTTCTGCTCGTCCTCCCACCTTCCAACATGCTGCGCTCCTGCGTGCCAGAGATATCGGGAATTTAATATACTTAGGCGCTCTACTTTGTGAAATGAGAGGGTGGTGACAGTATTGTTCTGCTCGATCTATTGATTTGCCAAACTTGATCACATCTCTGCAGGGGAGGGGGGCGAGCCTGCTTCTAAACTGACTGTAGTTCTGGTTCTTATGCCTTCGAAAAGGTGTGGGGAGAGGGAGGAGAAAGGACAATGCATGGTGTTCAACTCTGCTAATGATTTTAATTCCCTTGTTCCGCAATTTGTAATCTCATGAAAATAATTAATTTTTAATACACCAATTTAAGTCACCAAAACGCAGTGAGATAAGACACCTGCTGAAGGTAATCAGAGCAAATGGTAATGAAGTTGTGCGGGGTGGCTCTCTCGATTCACACTGCAGGAAATGGGAACAGTGTACAGTTTATTTTCCGCCATATACAAAGAATGAAGTAGCCTTAAAGAGAGTTGACAAATTGTTTACATACAGTTCCCTCCTCTCCTCCCCCAGAAACCTACCTATGGATTAAATTGGTTCGTACTGAGTAAGGATAAATAGAGTGTTTGTCGATTTCTATAAACATGTGTTTGTCTGTATATATGTAAAACTTCTATCAATAAGACTCTCGCTCACTGTAGCTCTCTCGTCTCGTACATCCAGTGCATAGGTGCTGTCAGAAAGACTGCAGTAAGGATAGTCGCAGAGGCTTAGATCGAAATGTATATAGATCTTGGGGCTGCGGACAGGCTACGCTTACCTCAAATACAATATAAGCTGAGTCTGCAGTGTCTAGGAGCTGCTCTCAAAGCAGCAAGGTGAGGGCGCTCTTGTCAAACAGGAGAGCTGGAGTTACTCGCTTGTCACACACATGCAGGTTCGATTTTCGGGTGCCAGGGAAAAGGACTCTGTAGAGCAAAGCCATTTTTGAAAAAAAAAAAAAAAAGTCGATCTTTCGTGTTTACTCAGTGCCTGTTTCAGATCTCAGCACTTTATCTGCCAGTTGAGAAAGCTGTGTTTTCCCTGTGGTAGACATAAAAAAAAGACTTCTGCCCGTTTCCCTCTCCTGTTCGTCACCAATTTGGCAATGTCTCCTACGGTAATTCGGCTGGTCTGCTTTTCAGGCAGTTTACATTTGTCTAACGACACATTCCGTTCGCTGAACGCAGCTGGGCACTGTCCGTGTTGTATTTTTCTTGTCTGAGCGGACAACAATATGGGAACAATGTCTTAAAGTATAAAACCCAACCAACCTGCTTTTTTATCCCCTTTACAATAGCATGTAACAAAATGCAGCATACTGCGAATGCCTGTGAGCAAATCACCCCAATAAAACGCTGGAAATGTTGCAGCTAGATATCCAGCGTTTACATTTAACGAAAGGATTATCAAAAACATGTTAGTGGTGTAAACACAGTTACCTCCCCAAACCTATCAAATAGCATGGGGCGCAAAATATGTGTGTTATTAACCAGCGAGGGGAAGATAAACTAATAAAAGGTTTAATAGTAATTATGATTAATGCATTTATATGGATGAGTACCTGGGCACATTAAAATACTTAATGTAAGATTCCTCCTGTTTATGCTGAGCTGCTCTTAATTCTAAAGGAAAGATCTAAGTATTAATTTAGAATACTTAGTGAGGCTGAGAAAAATCTTGTATTTGTCATCTTGCGTTAAAATATTAGTCAATTACCCCGATAGGGTTAACTGCAAGTTGCTGCTTATTGTTAGAATAGGCATTTTTCATTCAAGCAAATCTGACTCATTCTGGTCAATGAGGCTTTGGGACTGCAAAGAAAACAGCTAGTTTTATTTTCTTTTACACTGCATTCAGTAGATGCCCTTTGCACGGTGATATGAACATGTGAAAAGTGATGGGCTTTTCCTTCGGATCAGTGGAGCAGGAGTTGGTGGCGCTCAGTTTTTCGCGGGATCTCCTCTTGGAGATGAGTCGGGAAAGTCCAAGTCTATAGGCCAGACCTAGGCTAAACTCGTCGCTGTCTTCAACGGGCTAGGATTTCCACCCAGGAGTGATTTGATAGACAGTATTTAATGTTCAATTATTTGTTATATTCATTATGTGCAATGGGAAGTAAGATATCCCGAAACGGTCAAAAACTCGCGTGAAGGTCTCACATAAAACGGCACATTATTTTCTAGTGTATTCGACGAGGGGATCAAATCTTTTTTTTTAATTAACCGCATGTGACATAGTTAAGCCCCGCAGTTAACATTTTCGTTTTCCGAAGGGCTACAATATTTTTGAGAATGTAACACCAGTTAAATACCTCGGCTGTCCTTTTCCTCAATGATGTTATAGCAAGGATATTACCCTCCTTTTTCTCCCTAATCACAAGCACACCTAAACACACACACACATAGACACACAAAGAGACACACAGACACACAGACCAACCATACAGACAGGCGTGTCAGTTCCGCCAAGGAGACTCTTTAACTGAACATCAAGCCGAAACAATCATTTGCTGACAGATTATTAGATAGATCTGTTCAAGGGAATCAATACAGATCTGGTTAAATGTATCAGGTAATAACGAACATTTGTTCGTGCTATGTCTTGTAACTGATTTTCAAATGCTATAGCGATTAGTCAACCTAATGTTCTTCTGAATACCATATGTGTGCATCTTGAAAGAAGAATTTCAGTGACATGAAAAGGAAAAATTATATATATTTAGCAAACGATATGAATTCACAAGAAACACTTGTGGACCATATCAAAATCGCTTTGAGTTAAAGTGTTAAAAGATTTTTTTAAAGAAATACATTCCACTGATTTTAGGAAGTATAATCTTATTGTAAAGACTGAGGTACATTTCCAACATGAGCATTCTTAAATGAGCATTTATATTGTGGCAAAGTTGTCTACTTCCGGAAAATTTTTAAAGTTATTGTTTTTTGTCAGACAATTAATATAATTTATGGCCGAGAGGAAGGGCTGGCGTTATTAACAATATTTTTATGATTCAATCAGTTAGCTAAATGTACTAATAATTAAGTATAGATAGTGCAGATTGCACGTTGGTACAGAAAAATCGATTGTCGCTTCACCAATAAGACAAGTGTTGGCTAACTTCCTATTGATTAGTGTGTTTATTTATCCAGAGGTTTAGGTATTTACTTACATATTTCAGGTTTTTTTTTCTTTTGGTCTCGTGATTATTATACCAGGTTGGTTTGAAAGAAAGAGTTTATACGATGAACACGCTTGACGGATCCATTCTTAGCAAATTTGATAGTGGATTATTGCAATCCAATAAATTTAACAACTTACTTATACATGCTTGCTTTCGCAGCAACTGGGAAACCATTTCAGATTAAAACCTCTTGTAGCATTCAAGGTTATTGCTTTGAAATAAAGATGAATTATGTGTAGATGCTTCAAAAAATCAAATAAATGGTTTGGGGGAACTGCAGACATTACACGGAATTATACTCTGGCTTCCTTCCCCACTCTCGCCCTTCCTTTGTATGGTCCTAGCAATAGATTAGACTCTGGAGTTTTCTAGCAGATAGAATTTCAGAATCTAAGGAAATATGCATATACAAAGCAGACATCGGATGATTTCAAAAAATCCGCGTTGAAATATCACAGTAGTAAATAACAGTAGCAAGATGCTTTAGACACCTTTGCGTCTTCATGTTTTAATATATTAAAAAGGTGTTACGGCTATTCATATGAACTCTCAATAATTGGATCATCACATATTGAAATGGATTTTCTTTAAAAAAATCCACATTTTGAATGAAGTAGCACCTTCTTTCAGGAGATACTATAATTGCTATAATTTTCTATAATTTAAGTATAATAATATTACAAACAACAATATTAATTTGCTCGAAAATGTCCATTCCGCTCCACAGTTTAGCAATAGCTGTAAAGAAGCAGTGTAAGAACTTAGTCACCAAGGAAGGAATAATTCCTGTTGTAGTCATCAGATCATCATATTGAACAATGAGAAAGGAGCCAAAAAGTTAACAGTGAAGATAACTGTTGGAACAAATTAACAGGGGTCATGGTGGATTCTCCATCAATGGCAATTTTAAAATCAAGATTGGATTTTCACACACACACACACGCACACACACACACACGCACACACACACACACGCACACACACACACACACACCCACCCCATGGACGGGGGAGGGGACTTCTATGACCCGTGTTATACAGAAGGTCAGACTGGATGATCACAGTGGTCCTTTCTGGTCTCAGAATCGATGATTTTAGGACAGGAATGACTTGTCTATTTTGCATAGAAGGTGAATTCCTACTTTTCCAAAGCTGTGTTTCAACGTATCTACCCCCAAACTGCCATTAACATCTGTAGGTAATTTTCCTGTTTGTCACAAGAGTGTTTAAGGGTAGGCATTACAATATCAATACCGTTTTAAAGGTTGGAAAATGAAACCAATGTGGGATCTTTTGTTTATGATCCTGCCTAGCTGTCAAATCGCAATCTAAAAATATTAGTGCTTTTTGACTTTGAGCAACTGCTTTCTTGCAACTTGTAGATGTAAAATGCCAGAGCATCAGATGATCACACAGATAATCTCGCCTCCCCCCCCCTCCTCTGGTATAGTTGACGGTATATTCTTGAATCTTATAGCGTTAAGGCTTTCCTGTGAATGAACTAGAAAACACTCGACAGGTCGTGAATAATCGTTTTAATGAGTGTGTAAAGTGTGCGACGGGGTGCACGGAGCTGTCGGGTTAAACAAACAACTAGTACCCTGACGAAATCTGATTGTTAAAGTGCAAAGTGGTGTCAGTCCAATTTCCATCCTAGTCCTAAAAACCACAGATCTAAGTCGCGGGAGTCCAATTTTCCCCATTAAAGAAAAATAACAATATTTTCTGAACGCGAGTGTGATCTTCTTTAACGCTAGTTCTTGCTGAACAAAAAGACCATTTGCAAGCCATAAAGGTAGCAAGGTTCTTGATTTTGTTTTGTTTTGTTTTGTGTTAAGGGCCAAGTTAACAAGTTTATTTTTGACATCTATTGTCTGATCGATGTGGTAAATATTTCCCCCTTTTTTGTTTGTTCACAGATCATTGGAGGTAAACATGGGGTTAAATGGATCTGAATAACTGAGGTGGGTAACATTGTATTGAATTTAAGATTATAGCTATTAACGTTTGCCAAGTGTCTACATTTCAGGCAGGGTTTCTAGTAAAGGAAGGTAGAGATACTGTGTTTGAGTAAGATGTTCAACCATAAACACTTTGTGAATACTCGTTATTCATGTTCAACCATAAACACTTTGTGAATACCCGTTATTCAAGTCATCAGTTTCCAGGAAAACAAATGTCAGTAAAATGTTATGCGAAAGGATAGAGACTAAAAGCTGTGGGGAAAATCTTGCAATTTTTATATGTATTAATATTAATTAATTATTTAATTAATTAATAACCGCCCGGCAACTCAGAGCATCAGATATTCCCAGGAAAAACTGAAGTTTATGTGGTTAGGCTGCTCAAAGTACTCCGTTTGCTTTTAAACGGGGCCCTTTTATTTATTCAGGAAAGTATCTCATTAAAATCATATGGAGTCTTATCTTTATTATTGATCATCACAATCCAATTTTATGGCTGCTAATGCCTTCAAAGTGGGTCCAGGTGGGCCAGATTCTGGAAATCCCACTGAAGTCAAGTTTTGGTTATAATGTAGAAATAACTTTTCAAAATGTGCCACCAGTTTTAAAATATCAAATGCAGGCCCAGTTCGCATGCAGAGGAATACGTAGAAGCTAATTCTTGAAAGCAACCCAAACGGAAAATCAAATCCGTTTTTAAATCCTAGTTTACACGTCTTTCTCTATTAGTTTTTGAATAATTAGGTTTGTACAGACCAAATATATGCATATTTTATCTCTATATATTTTGTAGGCAGATAAGTAAAGAGATGGGACCTGATCCTCTATCCAGTGATATCAATGGGATTTTTTCCTGTAATGTCAATGGGAGCAGGATCTGGCCGTTTTATCATTTTGTATGGACTTGCAGATGGCGCAGTCCCTAGCAAAATGACATTATTGTCCACGTGTTGATTCCAGCCTGATATTTCTATAGTTCGAGTTAAAATTCTTGAGGTATTTCGATAGGGTAATTTTATACCGAACTCGGGGATATTGTAGGTATTAAGGAAAGTATCGATTGTCTTCTTGCCCTAAACGCAATACAACTTATATTAGGAAGGTGCAATTGAAATCACAGTCAAAACGCCCATAGATTTCAATACCATGACGCCGCCCCCGGTTTCCAAGCATTTATAACTAATGCACCATATTATCATATAACAAAGGATTAAAGGAATTACATCTGAAAATATCCTCCACAGTGTGCTCTACTTCAGCAAACGCTGAGTTCCAGTGTTATGATGCCATCGAATGTTTTAAATACTTAGTTTACTCGGGCCACACTCCTGATGCAAGTCGCAAAAATCCAATCTCTCTGTGCATTGAAGGGACTTCTTTTTTCCCTGCGCACGCTTTGGGGTCAATGAGAGCTGGGGTTGAGAGATAAATTCAGGATCAAGCCAGAAGAGAAAAGGAAGATCAGAGAGAAACACTATTCCCAGAAAAACATGCCTGACACAGACAAACACAACATTCTCCTAGCCCTCATTTGATCTCGGACAAAGAACCGAGAACACACAATGTCTTCCTATGCTTGCTAAACATTTTCAGATGTTAACAGAAATGTTTTTAAATGTGTACTTTGTATAATGCTCACCTCCCAGTTCGTTCAATAGTTTAGGTAATAAATAAGGTTGTTTGTGAGTAACCTTTTAATAAGCAGTATGTCTCTACCATCCACAATATAGGTTCTATAGATTCTTGATTCAAATATACACAAACGATATGAGGTTGTGTGTGTTTGGGGATCTAATTCTTGGAAGAAATGCACTATCAAAACATTAATTATATTTGAAAGGGAACCGATTATTTGCTTGAGAAAGAATTACATCGTTAAATTTATATTGCACACATCTCTCCTCCTGTTTGCAAAGAGGGTTGCCATTGCAGATCTGCCTCAAATAATATACCCGAAAATGCAGGAAGGTGTATCACATTACAGTGGGAGCGAAATGGGAGATAGTCCATTTCCTTTACACACATCTTTAGGATGGTTGTTAAGGGAATGTTGAAATCACATGCAGTGGCAACGGGAACATGTTAAGAACATACATTCTTCTTTGCTACCGAAAACGGAGCGATTTTGTAACATACAGTCGCAGGGATGATTCTGGTTAGTTATTAAACACTGTGACTCACCGGGGTTTTGGCCTACAAATCCTGTTTATTTAAAAAATGCCATATTTGACATGAACATATTACTTAAGCTTGTAATTAAAACCTACCAACTGTGTGAATCATCGATGATAATTTTTAGATTGCAGTTTATTTACTGGTCTCTAAATGATTAATAAACCGATTAAACAGATTTCCTAATCTCGCTAAAGTTGTGCTGCGAATAGTAATGATGATGAAAACTCCTTTTGAATACTAGTTGTAGCAGGGACTCTTGGAACACAATCAATCTAGGTACATTTCGTTCTGGTCTTTTTCAAGTACTGTTCCACACCTCCTGCTTTTTCTAGTTCTTCCGCAGCGCCAGGACTGGTGGTCCCTGATGTGCTCGGTTCAGAGCCCTTCATTTTGATTCAGTGGCTGGATCCTTGAAGAACCTTCTCCTCTTTTGGGGTGACGGAAGAAGGCGATTTGTCCCTAAAAAGTATTAAGCAGTGAGGCCATGGGAGACTAGTTTAGCATCTGGGCCTCGGGAGACGGCTACTTTCCCCTTTCGGAGTGGCTCCGAGGAGGAGAGGGATGCGGAGCGCTCGCAAGAGGCGTGAGGCAGACGGAGGCATGCAGAGGGCACTGCTGTGTGGGGCTGTTTCTGGGCTGTGTTCTCTACCCTAGCAGGTATCTGTGGCGGAAGAAGGTGACACGAGGAGGCGCGTCTGACAGCCAAGGAGGGGGAGCTGTCCGGAAGAAGGATACGAGATGAACGGAGCGCTAGGAGAGGGATGCGGAGCGCTCGCAAGAGGCGTGAGGCAGACGGAGGCATGCAGAGGGCACTGCTGTGTGGGGCTGTTTCTGGGCTGTGTTCTCTACCCTAGCAGGTATCTGTGGCGGAAGAAGGTGACACGAGGAGGCGCGTCTGACAGCCAAGGAGGGGGAGCTGTCCGGAAGAAGGATACGAGATGAACGGAGCGCTGCGTGGTCACGGTGCAAGATCAGAACAGGACAGTGTGTTGGGGCCAATTTTTTTTTGTTCGCTTAAGCCACAGCGCACCAAAGATCGGGTTGGGGGAGCGGGATGGCGTTTGGGAGGGAGAGATCGGAGGAGCCGTCTGGAGCGTACACACGAGTCCATCGTCTCGAGTCTGCTTTTGTCAAACCTGCGAGTGTCTGGAAGATAAAGGCAAACAGGCCACTGGACCAGTCTGAGATTCGGCCTTGACATCTGGACCCGAACTGATTCCGAGGACAAAGAGAGTCAGTCCTAAAACCGCCAGGCAGGCAGCTGTCCGGGGTTAAGACAGGCTCTTTGTTAATTGCCTAGATAACGGCGAGAGGAAAGACTGCGGCCGAACGCTCGGGGGAGGGGGCACAGGGGATCAAACGCCATCCGATTCCTTTGGTAACTCGGTACAAGTCTCAATTCCGCCGCAGTCCAGGAGGCTCTGAGGGTGGTGGGGAGGCTGGCGATGGAGGCGTTGTACCTTCCCGGCTTGCGCGTGACCCTGAGCTGTATTGCCCTGATTCCAATAAACACTTGCAAAGCGACTACACGAGCTCTTTGGTCCGCCAGAAAACACCCCCTCGAGCCCCCAATAAAACACCGTGGTCTAGCCCGAGCACCGCGCTGCTCCTTTTCAACCTCCCAGGAACCGCGCGCCCCCTGGCCCTGGCCCTGTAAACGCCGCCGCCTTTGCAGGAGTTACCAACACGAAGCTAAATTCTGGGGGAGTGTGCGCTGGGGGGGGGGAGGAAGGGGAGAAGGGTTGTGTTGTGTTGAACTGGGTTTGAACCTGCCCCCAGACCCGCATCTCTTCCTCTGTGGAAGTGGGTCTTACCCACGAAAGCTCACGATATTACAACTATGTATTTGGGAGTCTGTAAGGTGCCACAGGACTAGCCGCTGTGTTTAAAGTCCCAGACCAACACGGCTGCCCCCCAGAGACTTCTCTGATCCTGGGCAGTCAAGCTTCCAACCCCAGTTTTGGTCTGAAAACATATTCGCGAGAGCTCAGGGGAGACAGAGAGCTCCCTCCACTTTCCTGGAAATCTGTGGTACGCAGAGATTTGTATTACAGCCAGACTGTATGTGACTATGTATACAGTTTCGTTTGCTACCTAGCCACATCTCCACTTAAAGGGTAGAAATGCCTTGACATATAACTAATTACCCGGGACAGCAGCCAGCCTGGGGAAGGTGAATGTGAATGAATGTAGGGATCGAGCAATGTCCTGCAATAACCGATCATAACACCAATGAAACAAGTATGATTGGGTCATACCTACCATACTATCAGTGCTGACCCCAGCATGGAATGAGGGGCTACTGTTTAATGGTGAATTTTGTTTAAGCACTTTGCCAATAAATGGCCCATTGTTATTAACATAACGGGGCTGTTGGTTTTCTAACTATCGCATTTTAAACTATTACGCACCTATGATCGCTCAAGAGTAAAACTGAAGAAAAAGAGACTCAGTTATAAATAATAAATATAAAATACCTTATAGAAGAAAGTGGAGGTTAGCGGGGAGAGAGCTCTGTTTCAAAGGAAAAACAGAATAAACACCCCTAGAAGATGTACAATTGTCCCTGTTAAAATCATGATCGATCCTGGTTTTAGGTACAATCTGCGGGTACGTTATTTTTAAAAGGCCAGGACATAGATTTGTATATTTTTTGCTACAATTTTCTCGGGTAGTTATAATTGGGTTGATTTCCTCCTCGCCCTTCTTCTTAGTACACCAGGAACTGGTTCTGTTTACAGCACCCACCACATTGTTTCATTACAAGAGACCGTGAACGAGTCAGGGAAGGGGATATTTCAGATAACGCCGAGGAACGATGTGCCAGATATATAAATTTACAGCATTTGTAGCTGCATCATAATTTGTAAGAACGCAATAATCTGGGAGAGCAAAAGGAAAGCAGACGATACACAAAATACAGAATATTTAGGCAGAATATCTAATGTCCCAATGAACGGTGTTTTCTATTTG